ATTGAAAAATGGTAAGAGAGAATTAATGAAATATCTCATTAAATTAAAACCAAAGTAAATGTTTGCCTCAATTTTACCTTTTTCCATAGTTACCTAATAATGAATTTATCTCCTAAGATTATAAACTGTACTTAAGCCCAAATAAAATGAATAAACCTTGTAGATTCTTCACACATTAACAAGACATATTCTATAGTTGTCACTCCTGTGATTTTGCAGAATTAAAACCTTTGTGTTTCTTCATTGTGTCCTAAAAAAAAAACATGGTGACTTAGAAGTTTCAACTTCACCAGTCTGAAAACTTTCATAGGTGAAAGAACACAATAAATTATTAAATATTTTCATATAATTATACTGAAAAATGAATTTCTTTTTTTAATATATATTTTTTTGGTTGTAATTGGACACAATACCTTTATTTTAATATTGTGCTGAGGATTGAACCCAGGGCCTCACACGTGCTATGCAATCACTCTACTACTGAGCCACAACCTGAGCCCCCAGAAAAATGAATTTTTTATACTGAATAGAAACTACTCTTCTGATGTTCACCCTTATCAAGGTAACATGATCTTCGTTCACATAAAGTAAAAACACAATAAATAATCACTATTAAAAGAAGGTCAGAATTTCAAGTGGCCTTGACACTATTTTGTTCCTCTGAATAAAGACACATCTATGGCTAAAAAGAAATGGGAATATTGATTTTGACCTCTGTTCTCAGGTCTGTTAGATCAAAAGAAAAAGAAGTTGGTGGAGAAGGAGGAAGAGGAACAGGAGGAGGAAAAGAAAGAGGAGAAGCAGGAGGGGAGAAGGAGAACAGGGAGAAAAATGAGAAGGAATAAAGTAAAAGGAATTTTAAGCCAGGAACTGTTCTTGTATTTTGTGATATGTCCTTATAATCTACAGCACATACACAAATTAGGCAATGGAAATTGCTAATATGGAGAAATGGCAGAGCAGCTTAAAAGAAAGGAAAATATGACATACCACATAATAAAACATAACTTATTTTAATAAAATTGATACAAAGAAAATTTTATAAATGACTACAAGTCATTGAGGAATTACTTATCATGATTACAAAGGGAAACTATCTTTCTGAATTACTCCAATGCAGAAAACTTGGAAATGACAAAGAAATTTCTAAAAAGCTCATTATTTTCCTCTAAGTGACAAACAAACCCAGGATGGAAATAATTCCACACAATATCTGATATTTTTCACCACCTGGGCTCTCTTAATGTCTGTAGTAAAACTTGTATTCCATTCTTACTATTTAATAGAGACAGAATTACAAGGCAAATAATAGTAATTCTAAATAATAACCTCTGTAAATGCTTGCCCTTCCTAATCCTATTTCATATTTGTCACCAAAAATCACTGTAAGATATTTTGTAAATTGTGAAAATAAAGGTAATAAAATATCGACTGTAACATAGGTCATTAGGTAAAAGCCATTATTATTATTATTATTATTATTATTATTATTATTATTATTTTACTAGGAATTGAACCTAGGGGTACTTTACAACTGAAGTACATCCCCAGCTCCTTTTATTCTTTTATTTCGAGTCAAGATCTCACTAAATTTCTGATAGTCTTGCTAAATTTCTGAGTCTGTCCTTGAACTTGCAAGCTTCCTGTGTCAGCCTGCCAAGTCACTGGGACTACAGGTGTGTGCCACCAAGGCCAGCTTTAACAGCCATTAAATCTTTAAAAACTTGATTTCTATTTGACAGGAATAATGCTCCTTACTTTAGAGTGCAATATTTTTTTTAATCCAGTGGTAAATATCTTGGTAAAATAGATTCTTCATATCATACTATGAAGTATCCTATAAATTTTGTTTAATACTTATTTTTTTTCACAAATATTTATATATTATCTAAATTGAATTACACTAATACTCTTTGATATGGGAAAATAGATCCTGACCTCATTTTGTCCTATTACATTCCTGTTTTATTCTTTCCTGAAAATGCTCTTTAATTGAAGAAGCTTAAATTCTCCAATATTTAATCGTATCACTCTATCGTTAGTTTTTCTCATTGAGGATTCCTTTTCTTCTCTTCTTAGAACTGTACACATTCCCCCAAGGATATGACAGTGTCTTTATACAGGAAGTCACACCCCCTACAATGCTTTGATGTGGGAGCTTGATTGCTTCATTCATTAAGTTGTCTCGGCCAATATTAGGAAGTTTCTTGGTAAGAACATTACCTTTAATATGTAATATGACACTATTGACCAATGACTTAAGAATTAAAATAATAATATGTGTGAAGCAATGACTTTTTATGATGGCACCCTGAAAAGGACTTCACCTATATTTTCTCTTTTAATCCTTAAAAAAATGCAAATATATGCTATTGATCACCCAGATTTTTGCTTTTTAATAAACAACAGGGATGGTGACAGATGTAGTTATTTACCTAAGATCATAGAGCGGATAAGCACTGAAGCTGGACCTGGGCCAGGCTGGTCACATCTGGAGCCCACCATTAGTTGGGGCCAAATCACTGTGATATCTACTCAGACCCATGCAGTAAAATTCCCTCTGCTAACTCAAGTTAACACCAGATATGCTGAGGTTTAAGCCTGAAATTTTTAGCAATTATATTTCTGAATTGTTCCATCTTAAAGTGCAAATACTCCATAATCTCTCTCTATTTTTAAAATGTCAGCAGAAATGACATAGTCAGAACCTTCTAGGCTAACCAAAGGAAAGAACATTTTTGCCAGCCACCAGAGGGTAAGTGGAGTATTTCCTCAGTAGGGCTAGTCTATGATCTTGGCTATGCTGGAAGATTGGAGTTAAAAACAAAAAGCCTCAAATCTTCAAGGACGTCAAGATGGAGAGGAGAGACCTAGACAAACCACATTCCTCAAAAGCTAGGTATACACATCCAATACACGGTAAGACAGAATATATATTAGTTCTACTCCATGCTTTTTGTTTTTAAAATGTTACCATTTATTTTACTTTTATCTGAGGCATCAAATAATACCAATAAAAATATAAAAAGATTGGGGTAGGGAATAATCTGCACTTTACTAATAATACATTAACTCCTACGCCTCATAAAGGTAGCACCTAAAATTAATGTTTAAAAAATCATTGGTTTTGCAATGAAACAGAGGAAGAATCTCTCTTTTTAGTGGACAGTATCTAATTAAACATAAGCCAGGAAATACATTCTAATCAGAGTTTTCATCCATTGTACCTCACCTTTAGTGTGTTTTAATATTGCCTATTGTATCTTTGCAGTACAAATTGATAGAGCTCTCTGATGGCAGTTCACACAGATGTGATCACTAGGAGTCAGCCACTTACTGCTCTAAATATGGTTTCAAAGGCATGAAACCATGTTTCCCACTTTACACTTTCATTACTACTCTTGTGATGAGATAAAAGGTAAAGTTTTAAGTTGTTACTCCTTGTGGGAAAATCCTATCTGGATCTCAGTTTTATTTTCTCTAAAATGAGGTCAGTGGACTAACTGACCCCTGATTGCCACATGAGACTTAAGTCTACACTGAGAAGAGAGAAAGAGTTCTCCCAGAAGAATTCTCCCTTAAAAGGGGAGGGGGAATTATTAGGAACTAGTTGTCTTAGAAGACTGCACATTTAAATAAGGTAGGTATTGGTTAGTGTCAAAAGGCTACTCATTACAAGAAAAGTGTCATTCCCCCTAACCAAATAAGGAAGTAACTGAAACAAGTGATAAATATCAATTGAGAAGGAACAAAGGAGATGGGGAAAAGGAAGAAGAATAATCAGTAGAATATAAAAGTTCTCAAGCTATTCTAAATAGCAAGTGTCTAGAAGGGTTACTTGAGTATCAGGTGAAATGAAAGCCCTTTTCTAGAAAAACTGCTCAATTTAGAACAAATTGTGCCATCTTCTAATTGACCAAATTGTTAAACTGAAATTACAAAAGAGGTAACCTACTCAGGGTTCAAAAGAGTGGTCGGTTTATTTATAGAGGCTAAGCAAAGCTTGCTCTACTGAAGTTCATGTTAACCACAGTACTCAAGAACATCAATATCCAGTGTTTAAAATATTAAAATTTTCAGGTTTCATGGGCTCTAGTTCCTTTTGTGTCATTTTTCATTGCCACAAATATATTTTCAATTTTAACTGAAAAGCAAACTTTCAAATGTATTAAAATATACAGTAGCAAAAAGAAGAAGCAGTTAAAGCCAAAGTTACATTACTTAAAAATGTGAGTAAATGATAAGGAATTTAATCCTGTTCAACAAATTAACAGAATTTCATTCAGAGGCTGCATTTCTCACTCTGAACATCTCCAATAATTAACACCCTAGTGAATTTTTTTTAGTCTTTCGATATTGAGCACTTTTTATAATCAATGTACACTTTGCAAAAGCATTAGAAAATATTTCAGAAAGGAATACAATTGCTGAACATCCATTTGAAAATGTAAATCCATTTATATAGTCAACCAAATTGACTGTCTTTTACCTAGTTAGTAGCCCGCACAGTGGTGGTAGAAGTTCTATGTACAAGGACCTGAGAGCCAAGTCACAGGGCATCTTGGCAATTTACCTGGCTGGAATTTATAAGGTACTGTAGGTAAATGGGCGATGCTACAAACGTGAGGTTTTGCTGATCATAGAATTTTAAGATGGCATGGCATGGAACTTTAACACACGTGGCAAAGAGATTTTAGAAACTCCAGGACACTGTCCAGGACGCTCTGCAAAGTTTCAGCTCCTCAGAAGTTGCAGATGCCAGTGGTTGCCCGCAGGGCAGAACAGGAAGCGCGCTCCCACCTGCTGGGTGCAGACTCCCCAACTGAGAAGCCAGAGGACACAAGAACCTCTCCTGGCTGCCTGGTAACGGGAGGAACGGGGAACGTTCTCAGTGGCCCGAGGGCAGTTATTGTCTAAGGGTGCCCCTTAGTCTCTGCAAAGTACCCAAAGTCGTCCCGGACGCTCCCCCATCCAGCCCCTCCGAACGCGAGAGCACCCACCTGGGGGCACCAGGCCGGGGGCGGGCGGGTCCTGGCTCCCGCCCCCCTGGCCGGATGCTGCAGGCAGCATTGATGCCGACGAAGCCAGAGATCTGGGGACCGCAGCCTGCACGGCCGGGTTTGGAGTCTCCAAGCCAGAGAGATACTCTCTGCGAGCTCAGGTCTCGCTTCGCGCCCCTCCCCTGCCCGCTGCCCACCCGCAGCGGCAGTAGCCCAGGTCCCCGGAAACGCAGCCAGGGCTCTGGCCACAGGCCAGGGCTGGGCTTTGCTGGGTGCCCTGAGGAAGTGAAACCGTTCAGGGGCTTGCTCTTTCATCCCGTTTTCAGAAGACTGCCTTGGTTTCTCATGATACTCCTGGGCCAATTTTTCTTACCTTTTTTTTTCACCTAAGGACTCTTGAGGCTCATGTTACCTGTGTTATCTGTGACTGTAGCTCTAGCTCTTCTTGTGCATTCGAGAACTTCCATATTATTACCTCCACTTCTGGAAGAAATAAGGGATGCATAAGGTGGACATTTGTTGGAAAGGGGGAATAGAGAAATACGTGTAATTTTAAAAAATATTTTATTCAGACTTTCTGGATTAGGTTCATATGTTGTAAAATGATGTAAATTCCATATATAAAACTTATTTCCTATCCCTTGCTCCAATTCAGAAATGGGCCCAGTGGAAAATCTGTCATGGATCTAAATAGTGGTGTTTTTAGGGTAGGGCAGGGATATAACCCAGTGGTAGAGTGCTTGCCTGGCAAGCCATGATCTCCAGCACCCCTGGCCCTACATCCCAAAGATCGAAAAATATCAAAGTAATTGTCTTCGGAGTCTGAAAATAAATACCTCTTCTATCAAGGAATACAAAATTAGGAATTTGCCTTTTGAAGTGGAAGATCAATTTGAAGATTGGATAATAGAACATGGTTGCAATGTCTCTCTTTCCCTTCTCATAAAAGAAACCTAAAGGAAGGCTGGCTCAGCAACTATTTCTCTTACAAAAGTCTTTTTTTAGGAATATTATAAATATCAAGTATCAAGAAAAAAAAAGACTGTTAACTTTTCCCACATAGATGAACATATTACCAGAACTTTATAACATAATGTAAAAAACTTGGAAAAACATGTGAAAAGTCAGGAAATTTTGAAAACTATTATATATTTACTTCCTATCTAGTAGTTCTGCTAGCTTCATTATTAATTTTATTTTTGTGAATTTGAAATAATAGAGCAAAAAACTATGAAATATTATGATATCGGCAAGTTTATTGTCTTCTACATATGATTGTTTACCCAGAAACTTCAGTAAAATAAAAACAAAGTTTGAGTTGCAGACCACATGTAAACTTTTGGTCTGTAGTTTATGAATTTAAATTCTTAGCATAGTCTTCTTAAATGAACTCATTGGGGGAAAGAATATGGTAACTGGTATATTTCCAAGTGTACATAATTCTAACAATAGCAACTTTGTCATATACTTTTTCTTTTCTTTTCTTTTCTTTCTTTCTTTTTTTTTTCCTGTGGTATTGGAAAGTGAACTCAGGACCTTGAATATGCTAGGCAAGTGCTCTATTGCTGAGCTACATCCCCACAACAGTAGTTACTTTGACTGCTATAAACACATATGGTGCAACTCTACATCCTGTACAACCAGAGAAATGAAAAGTTGTGCTCCATTTGTGTACAGTGAATCAAAATGCATTCTGCTGTCATGTATAACTAATTAAAACAACAGCAACAACAATAACAACAACAACAAAAAACTCCAGCTGATGTTCCTCAAAGAAGTATTCAAATCTTTGAAGGTTTTCATCAGTGTACACAAAAGTTTATTAATAAATAAAGTCTTCAGATGTCAAATTGTATCTGTCACATGTATGGAACAGCCTTCTTGGAATGGCAGTTAGGGGCTACCCTGACTCTAAATTATTTATTATCTGGGCTACTAGAGAAATTCTTAGCATTTCCAATCCTTACATATCTCATCTAAATGAGGAAATTCCAATAGTGATATTCGAGACTCTGCCAGCTATAAAATTTTATGACACTGTCTCCTATAACACATATAGGAAATAAGATTTACAATGCATAGGAAAACCAAGTACATTTTCATATGCTCATTTTTACTGCTTATATGAATATGATCTTGATAAAAGAAAAAAAAACATGAAAGTTTAAATATGTTTAAAATTATGAGCTGGTTTTTTAAAACAAATCTACGTCATAAGATTTTGTTATAAAATCTTAAAAATCTTCCACTTAAAGTTTAAAAATTATTCCTGCTTTATTTATTTATTTATTTTTACTTGAGAACTGAATGACAACACAATTCTTGTTCAAAAGTTATAAGGTAACATGTAGCCCATTGACTTATTTATTTTTTATTACTATTGCTGTTAAGAGCTACTCTGCTTTTTTTTTTTTTTTAAGAAAAATATTTCACTTGCCAAATCACTATGTAAGAGTTTCACAATGTTCATGGCATTGGGTTCTCAAAACAATGTGGTTTTAACCATATTTCAAAAATGAGGAATCTGGGTTTTAAGAGTTATAAGTGACAAAACTGGAAATCAATCCTAGAATTAAATCCAAAGCCTGCTCTCTTACTTGTAACCCTTCCTTTATTTTAGTCATATAAGGTCATTGCCAGTGATTTTGTAGACATCATAGGCAAGGTTATACATATGCACATACAGTGGGTACCCCCTCCCTTATCCTTGGAAGGTGAGTTCCAAGATATCTAATAGAAACCACAAATAGACCAAACCCTATATATATGGTTTGTCCTATATATGCAACCTATGATAAAGTGTAATTGATAAGTGAGTCATAGTGAGAAATTTAAAAAAATAAGTAATGTTAAAATAAAACAACTACAATAATATAATACAAGTTATGTGAATGTGAAATCTTTCTTATTTCTGGAATTTTTTTATATTTTCAGATTATGGTTGTTCAGGTGAAACTGAAACCATGGAACATAAAACTGTGGATAAGGACAGACTACTGCATTGAAAAATTGCTTTGGTTTTCCACAGAGCTATAATTCTATGGAATGAAATATCAGTTGCATTAAAAATGGGCATGCATGGCACTCATAATGTATGATAATTTTGGCACTATTTGGTTGAGACTATAGACAATCTCTCTCTCTCTCTCTCTCTCTCACACACACACACACACACACACACACACACACACACACTGTGGTAATCTAATTTTTGCATTCCAACTTTCCCAATGCATTCTTGAAAATATATTTTAGAAAAAGTTTCACTCATTTTGGGTCTTGTTTCTTAGTGTTAAGCACATCGTTAATCAAAGTTGACTTTTATTTTTCTCCCTGCTTTCTCCCTTAAGTAGATGATACTGTGTGAAATATTGGGTTATTGCTTGGTTCACATTTATTCTCAGGGAAGAGGCACTTAGTAATTCTCACAGTGAGAAGCTTTTTCAGTCGCAATGCCACCAGCAGCGTGTAATGGCAAGTTTCTGATTTTACCTCTGTTACAGAATGACCAAAAAAAAAAAAAAAAAACAGTGCTAGCCACAGTTGGTTTCTTGTGTCTGGATATATCAAACTCTTGGAACCATTGACTTCTTCTCTTGCATTCTTTTTTTCTAGCAGCACATTGACCGCCCCCTTATTATTACTCCACTCTGTGGAGATTATAAGGGCCTCACCCTGACTCTAAGTTCCAATAATGGGAGAGCTGCTGCCCTGTTGCAGTTGCCGTGGCTGATTTCCTGTGCCCTTTGTAGATTCGATGCTTTCGCTCCTGCTCTTGGCTGTATTTATGCTTTTAGATCCTGAAATGCATTTAAAACAAAACTGATTCTTTCCTAAAGCAATGATCTATTGTAAAAGTGAAATGGTTTGTAACTTCATAGCCCATTTATGAATCAGAAAACTTTCTTCCTGATAAACATATCTAGATCTTAGACACGAAGTCATATTATTTCTCTAGGGTGTTATACTTCTTATTCACTAGTTCAAAACTGTAACAAATGCCAGGGACATTTGAAAAAAAAAAATTCCCAACTATAATACTGTTTTTGTAAAAATAATTTTTGGTCATCACTGGGAAGCTATGTTTCTTTTCTTAGTCTTCCTAACATTTAGATGAATTCTGTAACACTAAATCTGCATCATGCCCCTGTCTCTCACAAAGATGCCCACATCCTAATTTCCTGAACCTGGCTGGGTATACAACAACTTTGATAGAAGGTTAAATTAAGTTAAGGATCTTGAGAAAGGAAGAATAGCCCGAATTACCCAGGTGGACCTTGTATAATAAATCATAAAGGTGCTTAGAAGATGGAGGTAGGAAGGTCAGAGTGAGGAAGGAGATGGAGTGAGATAGTAAAAATTGGAGTAAGGATCTTTGAAATAAGGAGGGAAGCATACAAGACAGGTAATGCAGGTGGCCTCTAGGAGCTGAAAAGGGCAAAGAAATGTCAAACCCTGCTGACACCATGACTGTTAGCCCATGGAGACTGATTTTAGACCTCTGACCTACAGAACTGTGAATCTTCACAATTTTTATAAATTTGTGCTGTTTTAAGCTGTAGTAATTTGTCATAGCAGCAATAGGAAACTAACATGTTCATCATAATAAATTGTTTGGAGAGATTCCTTAGAAGAAAAATCTTTTTACATTCTTCTTCTAAATAAACATATATTAAAGAATACTTAATTTCCTTTAGCATTAATTTGCTAAGTGCCTGTGGAGCAGGATCTCATTTCTATTCAGTGGTTGCTGTAGCTCTTTGATATTCCTTCCTGCGGTGCTGTTTGCCTTATGTACTTGCATCTGTTCTCTAGTGACTGAATAGACGTTCTAATCTCTTTTCAATTAGAATGAGAATGACACATAACAGTAACCAAGTTTCTGCTTTTACTGTGGCCTGCACCACCACCACCCCTCCACCCACACCCCTGACTGTGCTAAAAAGTGAAACTGAGTTTGCTCTAAAGAAGCTTGCTTAATAGAAATGGGTTTTAACAACCTATGCTATAAACATTTTGATGCTAAGAAATCTAAAATTCTCCATTTCTCTTTTTGGTGGTTTTGGCTTTCTTTGTGAGCTATGATAATTAGCTTCGATTTCTATCCCATAATTATTGATTCAATTAGAGTTTCAGCAGTATTCCTTACTCCCAATGGAATGTTTTCCTTAGCATCTAATTCACCATAGATTTCTCAGTACTTGTTAGCTTCATCTCTCTGTGAGATTAATAAGTGAACATTGTTCTT